TTCAAATTATATAAACCTCAAATTTCGACACACACGAGCACACACATATATGCTTAGATTCCCAGAGAAGAAAATGGAATTATTTGAATTGTATTTATTCTTTTTAAATTATTTCAAATAAAATTTGAGGCGCTTGTTCTTCGAATCAAGCGTACCTAAAAAAAATAAAAATAATTTAAAAATAAATTAACTAAAATACCCTTGAAATATTCAAAGGCACTGTTTTGATTTATTTTTTAGAATGTTTTTTATATTAGTTTTAGGTGCACCTCAATGATGCATCATACCAACCATAAGGAAAGAATATGGCCACGATTGTATAAAATATTTTTATTTTAATATTTTATTTTGCAAATGGGATTTACATGAAATGTTTCAAATGAGTAACCACATAGTAGAGCACCTAATAAAATTTCAAACAAAAAAATTTAAAAAATAAATTGATCGAAATATCTTTTAATGTTTTTGAAGTATTTTGATTAATTTATTTTTTAATTTATTTTCTATATATGAAAAGAGCTTGAGCTTAATTGGTTAGTGCTTGACGATTTGCAATACTACGTCTTCCGCTCAATTCCTACCAAGGTAAAGGCTCTCTCTCCATTCTCACCCAAAAAACAATTTACACTTCGTCATCTGCTCAATTCCTACCAAGGGTAAAGGCCCTCTCCCCACTCCTACCCAAATAAAATTTTACAATTCGTCTTCCACTCAATTCCTACCAAGGGTAAAGGCCCTCTCCCCACTCTCACCCAAAAAAAATATATATTTTTTATATATTTTTTATGCATTTGATTGATAAGTATGGATTCCCAAAATGTCACTTCAATCTTAATTTGTATTAAAAATTAAAATTAAAATATTAGATGTCATTGTGCTGCCCACTTTCTTCTCTAATTTGAAAAGGAGGGGTTATTTCTGCCATTCAAGCGTCCATGACCACTGTACTTTTTCATTGCGAAATAGAAAATGGAGAGAGAGAGATGCGTATCATCGTTATTTTGATGGAGGAGATGGAAAAAGATGATATATGGATACCAACCTTATCATGTATAATTAAGGTGTACCTCAAAAATCCACCTTAAAGTTTGTCCAAATGTCGGAAAAAAAATTAGTACTTTTTTTTTTTTTTAATGAAGGTCAGAAACAAAAAAAAAACTATACTTGATCATCTCTACCTCGAGATATACGGATATGAAAAAAATAAATAATTAATTAAATTTAAAAAATAATGTATTTTGTAATACATTATTCAGACCATCTATTTTCAAAATGTTCAAGTGTTTATAGATATGATCGATCTACATTATTTTTAGAATTTTAAATCTCATAATTAGGTATCAAAATAGAGTTTTAAGCCATGGTAAGAGTTAGAATTGTATCTTTTAATAAGATTTAAAGGTGTGCCTGACCGTTAAATATTGACTCCTCATACAAGCCATACCGTTAAAGATCCACCCATGATAGTAGGGTCCCTTGTAGTTTTCCTAGGAAGGCCCTGAGGGCAGCTGCTAGGCGTGGTCATTTTTTGTGACCTACACATCGAGGTGGGGATATCCAAAGTTGCCATATAAGGGATTGTATATAATGAGACCATTTACTTATATGAAATCTGACATTTTGTGTATGTCACAAAATTCAATTTTTTTAAAAAAACATCTTTGAGCTTGGTTAGTACAATTATTATAGCCACTCAATTTCAAATCCAATAGTCAAGATTACTTGTGACCACCTTGTACGAAAGGTAAATGATCTCATTATATACTTTCTTTCCATATAAATATGAGAACGTATAACATATTTGTTGTACAACAACTCCCTTGGGCAAAATAGATAGTTGGGAGGCTTTCTTGGATGTGAAATTTTGGGATTCAAGTATTATTAGATTATTATTTTAAAAAATATATTTGAATTTTGAGTTCTTAAACATATTAGATTTTTTTCCTCTAAAAATTGAACAGCTCTTGTTCAATCTTGTGACATCATTTTTTAGGCATATAAATAATGTAAATTAAATATTTTTTGCTGATGTTGGTCATTGGGTTCTAGAGATTATATCCACTGAATTTGGGATCCAAAATACATTCCTAGCTTGAGTTTTCCATGGATGGGAGCATGAAAATTTTCACATAAAATATTCCATATTTGATGTTTTAAATGAAGGGCGCAGCTTGTATAAGGTTGCCGCCTTAAACAATCAAAATAGGATGCACTTCCAAAATAATGTTGAAAGATGCCATTTCAATGTAAAAAATCCCCATAATGGTCATGAAATATATTTGTATATCTAATTATGAAATTTAAGGCTTTGAATATAGTGTAGATCTTACGGATCTTCAAACACTTAAAATCTTGAAAATGGATGGCTTAAATAAGGGTGAGGTTTGTATAGAGTAGAGGCTCTAAACAATCAAAATAAAGCGCACCTTCAAATGAATGTCGATAGATGTGGTTTCAAAGCAGAAAATTTTTGTGATAGCGTTAAAATATATTTTTATATAATTGTAAAAATTTTAAGCGTAAAAATTAATGTAGATCAATCAAGATTCTATGGAAACTTGAAAATTGAAAATAAAAAAATGCGTTACAAGATGCACTATTTCCAAAACTTGAAATCTTTTTTTTTTTTCTCATGTCCATGTACCTTGATATCAAGATGATCAATATGAAGATAACTGGGCATCAAAATAACCTCTTTTAGTGAAATTTTTAAAGTGAGCTATAATTTGATTGTTTAGAGCTTCAGCTCTATATAAACTTTTTCCTTTACATTATAAAATGTACGATTTGAAAAAAAAAAAATTTCCCACACACATATATCTCGAAGTCGAGATTATCAATCAAAGTTTTCTTCGACATGAGTAGAACTTATTTCGGCGAGATTTTGAGGCGTGCCTTATATGAACTTTTTCCTTGAATGAAACGCTGAAGATATTTTTCTCTAAAAAAGAGCTAAAGGCCTTTGTAAAAGTTACAGAAAACTCTCAAAATCCCCATAAAAATATAAATAGTTTTGAATAAATTTGATTATTTCGACAATCACATGAGATTATCGAAAAAGGATTTTTTTTTCAAAAGTTTTCAATGAATAAAGTATTTTTGAAAAAAACTGTACAAACTTAAAATCATTTTTTCTCTAAAGTTTTGCATTTATATTTTGAAAAAAAAAAGCTTCAATTTAGTTATTTATAAATCACCATTAACATTAAAAGTGGTGAATTTTATATGTATTAAAACCTTCCCCTCTCTAAATTTTTAATATAAAATATTATAATTTTAGGGCTTTATTGGATAACAACTAATTTTGTGAGAAGTAAGCTTTTTAATCTAAAAATAATATACTCCACTTAACGCTATATATATATATATATATATATATAAGAATAGTATTACTTATATACGTACCCTCCCTACCTACTCCATTAGTAGTTACGTACGGTACCTACAAGGACTACTAACTTAATTTAAATTT